TTTTTTCATTATTTGGTTAATTAAAAAAATTTGAACAAGATAAAAAAATAAAAAGAATTGATTATTTAAAAGAATTAATTTATTTTTTTATGAAAAATTTGTTTCTGAAATATCTTAATTTGTTTCTGAAAATACACATTGAATAATAAATATAATAATAATTGTAATGATTTAATTATATTTCCTATTAATGCAATATTTCTTGCAATTATAAAAAAAGTTAACTATAATTTTTACATTTGTTAAGCTTAAATTTCTTTGAACTATAAATTTAATTTCATCTTTTTATGAATATTACGATTTTTAAAAGTATCTTTGTTTCTTTAAAACTACAATGTATTCATATCTTTTTGCTCATTCAACGCTTTTTCTCTTTGAGTTTAACATATTATATAATATATTATATTCTATCTCAGGAGATTAAAAGGAAGACAATTGCATATTTAGGTCATTGCATCTAATTAATCCCTATTATTTCAAATATAATAGGTTGTCAAATGTGAATTTGCAGATTTGCACATTTCTGATTTTGCATATGTTCATATGTTATTAATTGTTATTAATTATATTATATTATAATATTATTAATTAATTTCACTGTATCGTATATAACGATAGTACAGATAGTTTAACGTAGTTAGTCCTAAAAATATTCGGTACAATTTATAATTATAAGTTAAAAAAAAAATTGTAAATTTGCAAAAATATTCATATTTATATTATAAATTTGTTTCATCAAATTAAAATCATAAATTTTTTACAAAGATGTAATTATTTTGTATATTAAAATGAATCTTGAATTTGATAAAAAAAATAATAATAAACATTAAAGAAAAAAAATAAAATCTTCCAATAAGAAAAATTCTATTAACCTATTTAAAATATATATATATGTAAAATATATAATATATTATTCGTAAAATAAGACATTGAATCGAATAAATTTTTATAAAAAAATTATTATCATAAATATATATATAATTTTCTCTTTAAATATATATATAAATAAATATATATATAATTTTCTCTTTCTCTGTATTTAAGAAATAATTTTTATAATATAAAAAAATCAGTTTTTGTTTAATTTTTCTATGAAATATAAACAATAATTTATACTAATTTAAATATTGTTATATATAATATATATTTAAATATTGTTATTGCAAAATATTTTGTATTTTATTTTATATATATATTCATTCTAAATATTAAAATATGAAAATCAAAATTTTATCAGTGTTCAAGTATTTTTGAATACATATATAACTATAGATTTGTTTGATCTCATGATCATTTGAATTAATTTAATTAAATTAATAATAATATTAAAATTCTCTAAATTTATCAATTCCGATAAAATATATCTTAAACAAGTTCATTACAGAACCGACCATCATTCGATTAAATTTCAACTTTAATGGATGAAAATATCTTAAATTAAAATAATTCCATTTAAACAATTCCAGATTTAGACAATTCATCTTTTATGAAGAATATAATAGCGGCGTTATAAAAATGATTGTATTAAAAAAATTGCGTCGATAAAGAATAATGAGCAAAGAACATTATTATAATAATACGTAATAATACGTGTCTAACAAAAGATTTCACTCTTAATATCTCGAAGGTCTGTAATATATTTATATTATATTTATCATATTCGTTGCTAATCTCTTTAGCGGTATTTTACGCCTTGTAATGTTGAAAACATTTCAACATAAGATTTTTTTTATTTTATATCATGAAAGAAAAGATATTTATATATATTATTTAGAATTATATATATAGAATATGATTCTATTATATATAAATTTTTCGAAATATATGATAATAATATTAAACAATATTTATAATAATATTTATATAATATTACAATTGCAGCATTATAGTAATGAATTTCCAATTCAATAAAACAATATTTTAAAAAAACGAATTCTACACAATTAATATTATATTTTATATTTAATATTTTTGTTTCATCATTCATAAATATTTGTTTAACACTGGGATATAGGATTTCGTACACTAGGATTGTGTAGATATATTCTTTGAAAACACCCATTTATGTATTGCTACTCAAAATTTAAACCATGTATCAAACCACGTGAAAAATTGAAAAAAATATATATATATAACGCATTTGATTAAATTTGATTAAATATAATATGTTTAACATTTAAACAAAATTATAAAATATTGTCATTTTTGCCGCATCATAAGTCCTTTCGCTGTCAACTGTCACGTGAGTGAATGAATAGAAAAAATATTAAAAAATGCGATTGAAATCTTTTGTCAGTTTCGTATATTTTTTGTTTATGTAATTGCAAAATACTTACAATTGTTTGCTGCTTCCAATCGTTACGAATTCCTTGATTTTTTCTTATTTTTCAATTTGTACGAAGGGACACAGCTTCCGTGATTCGTATCAGATTGTAGGCCTATGAATATTAAAATTGCAATTGAATTTCCACGTTATCTCACGCATTATGCCAATCGACAAGTTATTAATTTTTTACCGAATTATGATCGAATAAATGGCAAGCAATCATGTGATTGTATTGATATCTCTTTACGAACATCGTCATCGTAAAGGACGAACTATTTGCACTATACACGAACAGTTTGCAGGAGCACGCTCTCTTTATTCCTTCTCAGAAGCACGATCGCACGGTAAAACAGACACTGTCCTTGCGGGATAAATGGCAAGATGACATATAAAATAGAAGGATGTCACTGTCTATTAACCGATCACCTTTACTGCTGTTAGATGATCCCGCGGGAAACTTAGAGAATCGAAAAAGACGCGAATCTCCAGTCCCGAAACTCTTTATCGCAAACATCCTTGAAAAAAAGCTCTCACGGAGACAGATACTTGTTCTACAGCGCCTACGTGCGGCAATGCTAGTAACTTTCTGTCAAAGACACGAACGCGGTTTGTTACTGTTCGAAGACGCCATGTTGACTGCCTCTCTTAAAAGCACCCGATGCGACATCTGCCGATATTTTTTGATAGTTAGAAAAGGATTTCACAGCGGGAAAATAATTGTGTAAACAAATTAATAAATTTAAAGAAGAAAGATTCAAAATCCAAGAAAAAACATTTTGTTCTATGATTCAGTAAGTTTACTTATATTAAATATTGTTACTTTCAAATTAATATATGTATTTCTAAATTGATTGGAAATGATATACTGTGTTTACAAATTGTCGACAACTTCATTTCGTTAAAAATTTAAAAAGATGAAAGGACTAAATAGAATAAAGTATATTTTAATTTATATTAAATGAATTCTATAAACTATTCAGAAAAAACTTAAGTGATACGAATTTCTATTAAAGAAATTCTAGAATTATTTCATATTTCTATTGATATTAAATTTTTTATCTTTTCATTTTCTTAATCTTCTCTATTTAATTTTGATCAATAATTCATGAACATAATAGTTTGTATATTTTATTTAAATAATTTCAATACTTTTTTTAATTAGATATTTTACATAGTTCTTTTAATTTTTAACGAATGATAATGTAATAATTAAAAACTTAAATCAAAGAATATTATAACATACAATATAATATACATATATATATATTGATTTAAATATATTTTCTTTTTCTTTCGTTCTTACGCCCGTGTTAATCATCTTTTAGCAAATCCAGTTTTTCATCAGTGTCATGAAATACTAATTTTCAACTGTGTTCATATCTTTGAATTTATGTTCGTTCGTTCTCGACTTCGTAACCTATCTTCACTAAAATACTTGGCGCAAGAGCAGTAAATTATTCCCAGGCTATTAAGTGAAGTCGAAAATGTTTACTTCCCTAATTACGACATTTAAGGTTAGTAATTAGTTTGAGATAAGTTCAACATTGTGAATTAACTAAAAGTACTTGCAAGAAGAATATTAAAGTTTTTTATTTTCGTTGAATTAGTTAAATATATTTTATTAAAAAATTAAATATTATAAATGTTTCTTGGTTTAAAAGTTATAAATTTTTGCAAAAAATTAAATCTGATTCTGAAAAGATTGATTGATAGAATGTTCGTATTTAGGACATTTGCAAAATCAAACATCTAAATATATGTATAGTTATACTAAAGAATATCTATTTCATCTTTTGGGCAACTCTTTCATTTATACAACTTATATTTGTACTCTTATTCTCATCGCTATGCTTTTGACTTTTCTCTTCATTTCTATTTGAAATATGTTCGTTTCCTTACTTTCTATAGAATAACCTCAAAACATTTCTGTATTATTCTTTTCTTTGCTTCATATAGCTTAGTCATAGTGTTTATTATCTTTTGAATAACCCGCTAATGTATGAATGTTACTAGATTACATAGTATGCGTTTATGACTATGCGAGTTACGTTTTAACTTATCTCATTCCAATTTTTACAAAAGTCATTGTTGGATTATAATAATTTGAACAAATTTGAACTATTATATTTAGAATATAATTAAGATTGATTACAATTTCTTTTATGTTTCTTGTGAAAAAAAACATGTATACACATCATATAAATGTGTATATATATATATATATATATATAAAATTTATTCTATTAATATAATTTTAATAATATCTCGCACAATATTTTTTATTAGTAAACTAAATTGTTTTTTAATATAATTTTATATAGTTTAAAACAAAGGATTGAATACGCATCTCCATTTAGTGGCAGTGATATAATTGCATTATCATGCATAATGCAAATATTTTAATAATAAAATTTTAAGTAATTTATACAAAATTGAAAAATTTAACAAAATCTATTTGATTAAAAAAGTTATTAGAATATTTATCTATAATAGTTTATTTCTGAAACTGATATCTGCCGCCATCTTTAAGCTATCTCTGAAAATAAAAAAAATTCCTTGTAAAAAATAGAATCAATAAAAGTATACATAAATATCTAATGTATTCTTATAAAATCATGCAAAGAATATATACATGTAAAATTTTTTTCGGTTATTAATATTAAAAACAAAGAGATAAGGAATATATGAATTTTTTTTAATGATAAAGCACAAATAGATATGTATATGTATATTTAACGTATACTTATATTCAAACACTTAGCGATATTAAACGATGTTGCATAAATGTTTTGCAACTTTAAAAATGCATCGTATCGAGTTTTTTTTGTATTATCATCATACAAAATAATTGTACATTGCCATTAATTTTTACAAACAAAATAAGATTCAAGTCCTTTCATTACTCTTTCATACATCTTTGTAAAAAAGTTAATAAAATGACAATTACAATAATTACAAATTCCTTTTCTTATTTGATTCATATTTTCGAAAATGAAATACGTCACAGTCTGAATATTAAATTATTATAATTATAAATTGACATTCTTATTACAAATAAAAATATGAATGTTAAGGATGATAATGATTGTACAATATCATTTTATCTATACATCTATCTTTTCTACGAAAATAGCCCACTACATCAACTAATGGACAATAAACTTTCGTATATACATGTATATAATGCAACATTGTAATAGTTGTAAACACTAATATTCCAAAATAAACATAAATTTTTATATATCGTGAATATAAAAACGTGTATTTGAAAAAACCAATATACATAAACTAATATGGATATTATATCTATATAGAGGCAAAAACAGTTCTTTTAAAAAGCTTCTAGCATCTTAATGATAACGATTTTAACGATTTAAAATATAAATTGAAAGCAATTATACATATCTATAATTATATTCGCAAATGAAGTATCGTGAGTAAAGATATCATGGATAAATGTATGTATTATTTAGATATACTCACACTGAATAGCGCAAATTCGATGTAAATTATTATACAAATTTTGACGATAAACATGCTACATGGATATACATATTTTTTTTTAATATATGCACCAATGCATGTTTCTAATAGCAAATTACATTATTTTATTGTTATTTCATTAATTTAATTAAGATCATTTTGCTGATAGTATCTATTAATATATATTTCGGAAGGATAAAATCGATTCTTATTTATTTGTCATCCTAAAGATATATATCAAAAGAAAAAAAAGACAGAAACAAAAATCATCGTTGTAACATATTTCTCTTTTAAAAATTACAGTGTAACAAGCGATAATATTAAAAAAATAATTAGCATATTATCTATTATTGCATAATTATAAATCTATATTCTAAATATTCTTCTCGCAAAAAGAAACGAATTTAAAAAATTAATTTTAAATTCAATTAAGTAATAGCCCAGCTATTTAACAACGAATATAATTCGACTATAACTACGTAACAAAATTATATTTGTTTTGATTTATCGTCTCCTTAACTATCTTTGATTTTCATTGTAAGATCGTTTAAAAAAAGAAAATGATTTTTAACGTATATAGTTAAAATAGTAAAAATTTCTTTAATATACACGCATATCAGCAATATAAAAGTAATATAAAATTGTATACGATATGTTTGAACGAATTGGCACAGATCACGCATCCTAAAAGGGATTTCAAAAATTGTTCCCACTTCTTATACACGAAATTAAAAAAACTCTTTTTATTAAATCATCAATCCTTCCCGAGCACCGCTCGATATCAATTGTTCTTCGAAGATATTAAGTGAATGAAAAAGTCATCATAAAAAGAATCGCCATATTTTTTTCTTCGTCGATTCTATGATATTCAATAAAATATCGATATTAAAAATTAGTCGAGTGATTTAAAAGTGATCACAATTAGCACCTTGTTTATCTCGAAATTTTGGAAAAACACATGTTCCAGTGATTCGATTAATCGTTTAGAAATGATATCATAAGTTCGACGATATAATAATTAGTCTATTGCTTGGTTTTCTTCGGTTGGCCGTTATTCGATAGATACTTCCAGAGACCAGTGATTAATGGCACATCTCGGAAGCTATCGGCCGAAGGCTACGCCTGCTACGAGCACATCAAGTCTACGGATCTTGATTCACCCCAAGCGTTTTGTATTTTGAAACCTGTCGTTGACCTCGGTACAACGTGATGTGATGCAGATGTCGTGGTGTGTCTTAAAGTTGTCATAGGGATACTAGTAGCGTTACTCTTTTTTTGTACCTTCTTACCGTCTTCGTCTTCGAAGCAAACCTAGAAATATTGTAAATTAAAAAAATATTAGAAAATTCGTGTATTTGATAATTAATTAATATGCATTGATTATAATACTAGTTCTTGATTAATGCGAATTTAAATAATGCGATTATCATCACAATTATAAATCAAAATTCAATTAATGAAATCTCGTAGGAAATAATATAATTTGAAGAATATGTATCTAATATGGAAAATCTTCTCATTATCTGAAAGAGTTTTTTATTGCACATTTTACAGATTACACAATCCATAAAATTTTGAATGTAATTTCTCTTTGTAAAAAATAAAAAAATAAAAAAGATCTTTTTATATGGATTTAAATTAGAAAAATATTACAAATTGTGTTAAATTTAAATTATAATTTAAATTTTTCATAACTATAATATCGTTATATTATATAATTGTTATATTCAAACATTATTATATATTAATCTTATATATTTTCTTATATTAAATTATATTATATGTACAGGATAATTAATATATAAATTACAATATTTGTGTGATATCTTTGGAGACTCGATTCTTTTATAGATATAATAAACGCCAAAATAAACGCAATTTTTAAATTTATTTTGATTTTTAAAATCAACCCTCCAAAAATGTTTCACAGATATATTAGCTACACTCTATGTAGCTCATATATCTCTTATGCAATGATTTTGCTCATAACATATAACGATATAATCGGTTAAAATGTCAATAAATATATAAAAATATATTTGCAGGAATTTTCATATTTCATTAAATTGAAATTAACCATCGTATTTCAAATATTCGAGTAATGCAATTGTGCGATTAATTCGTGGAATATATTATTCGCATTAATCAAAATCTAATTGTAAATTGAAATTACGTACCCATGAATTTCCAGCTGCTTTACTCTCATTCGATAAATCGATTAAAAGATTTTTTGGTGCGTCATTCGTGTTACGTTGTTGGCCATTGTCTTTATTCTGTTCGTTAACTTTATCCACAATCTTCGCATCTCCTTCGCTCTTTTTCTTCTCGTTATTTTCTAAAGAAAAAAAAATAAAAATTAAATGACAATTTTGCATCGATAAAGAATTAGATAGTGTGCAATAAAAAGAATAAATAAACGATCAAATCTCATTTGCATAAATCACGATGATAATCATCATGAAACTCTTTTCGTATCTCTATAATACGATTTCCTAGATACACTTTCATTATCGACCCACGTATACACTAATGTTCATAAATCTGTGTGATGCAGAAGTAGAACCCTTGCAAATGAACACTGATTTCTCATTTGTTGCTAATTGGTAGCTTCGAGTCATCTCGTAATTCTAAACAGTCGTTTGTTAATTACAGATACATCATTAAATCGATACTCGCGTTTCGAGAAACTAGTAAAAAAAATATATGTGTTTACTTAATCAATGCATCGAAGTGCTATGTGTAGAGCTGGGGAAAAAGATTTTTGAAATACAAAATAGAAATAAATATTTATAGCGATATAAAAATTTCTCATTGAAACAGTAATTATATAAAGAAATAGTAGGGATTATAATAAAAATATTATTTTGAATTAAATATTTTTTACACGTAATTGTACATTGATTATTATTTATATTATGTATGAAATATAATAAGATTATAAATTTATATGATTAATCTATAATTACTCAAGATGAGATTAATAAGAGATTAATTTACGTTACAATAAATTTTTTATATTTTAATATTTTAATAGTTTTTAAATTTTAACGTTTAATAACATTTAATTATTACGATATAATATATTAAGATCATATATATAACATAAAATAAAAAGAAAATTTCAAGTTATATTTTCAGTATTTAAGAAATAAAAAAGGAAAAATATAATTATCTTCGATGCTTATTGCATTTTCGATTAAACAGAAAATAAATATTTTATTCATATCGAATATAAATAAAGATTCGAAATTCTTCCGAGATTTCAAATTTAATAAATTTAATTTAATAATTTAATAGTATTTGCTTATGGGAATATTTCACTTTTTTTAATATTTCTTTCAACTTTTTTCTGTATGCACATCATTGATAATTAGTTCATAATCAAAATCATCACGAAATTACGATTATAAAAAATTACGATTTGTTAAAAATTTATAAATTACATTCTGAATGGAAAGCATACAATAAATTATATTAAAATTAACCGAAGAATAAAATTTTACATAATAATGAGTGAAATTTTAATTATTAATTTAAAAATATGCCACGAATAATTATAGCTAATTTGTTCCTCGAAGCGAACCGTGCATAACAATGTTTGCACAAATGAAGAGAGCACGCAAGTTGTATAATTGTTCCAGTTTTCGATAGTGTTGTAGTTCGATATGTACGAAGTCCAATATTACCGGACAATTTCCTAGGTGCACTCGTAACCTTCTGCGAATAACCCTCCGCAATATCCGCACTCTCGGGGAGTTAAGTGCACAACTACACAGATGTATATTCCATCTCACAGACACGTCGACTTTTACCACAGATCAAATGGTTCAAGATTAAAGCTACCTTTCTTTCTTCACTTATTAAATTCCATAATTCGCCTTTCAATTATCTCTTACTTAATGGATTGATTAATTTAAAGGATTTGTAGAAAAGAGAAGAAAAAAAATTGTTAGTAGTTTTATATATTAGAGATTCAGTTTTAAAATTGTTAAAAATAATTGATAAGAGTTTCATAAAATAGAATTGTTAGAAAATGGGGATAGAATCGAAACAATAATCTAAATTCTCGAAATTTAGAATGCTTTTTTTTATTCTTTTAATTAATGAACTTCGATTTCTGAAATTTTTTTCGAAATTGGATTATATTGTCAATCAATAGTAATAATAGTTATCTTTTTAGCTTGCGAGGAGATTGAATTTCTATATTTTATTTTTTATCGGTTATTTGGAATAAAATTTGGAAATATTGTTTCATTAGATGCTTAAGTTAAACATAATATCAAAATATAATTTCATGTTATTTAGTTTTATATTTAGATCAAGAGTATACTATTTACAATTGAATTCGAAAATAAAAGATAATAGATCAAAATGAGGAGATACAAATTTTAATACAACAATTAACTAAAAATCTTACATATACATAATATAATTATATCAATAATAATTAAATAAAATACTTTCAAAATAATATTTACTTGAATTGATATCAAAATATACATTTGAAATATTATTTCTTTATGTAAATAATATCAAAAAAAAGTTCATGTACAAAATTCTATATTATTCAAAGAGATAAAAAATATTTCTGTCCTAATCTAATCTATTTTTTAAAAATTTATTTTTCTCGATCTTGAATTTTAATTAATTTTAAAATGAGGCTAAAAATTTAAAAAAGCACAAAAATAAATATTTCAGTTTTGAGAATTTCAAATTTTTCTTAATGAAATTTTCTTAAAGAAATCTCTTTGGATTTTTTTTAATTTTAAACCAAGTTTCGATTGATCTGTAATTAAAATAGGTTAGGATCGAAAATAATTTACCTACCGTTTCTATCATCAGTTAACGAGGGACTTTTATCCTGAGTGTGATGAATCCTAGGATCGGATTGGGATAGTTGCCAAGCTTCGTAAGCCGTGTTAAAGGCTTGAGCGACCGTTAACGTCACCGTTTGCGCCATTTTTCTTTTGGGGCAGAGAAACGCGTGACACTCCATAGTTTCATTCAAATTTGTTGCGATAAACGCGAACACGTGATCATGAGCTGCATCCGCCGAACAATACGAAATTCTGAAAAAAATTATATGATTAATGATTTACAAGAATTTTATACTAAGATGGGAACGAAACGTGGAAACAATTTTTTTTTTCTTACTTAACAATGAATAAATATTTTATAGTAATGCTTAATAATAAATAAATTTTATATGTTATGAAAAATTATTATTTTCACTGATTTTATAAATTCTTGTTTAATAATTTACGGAAATATAATTTTTGAGAAGAATTAAAAAAGAAACAAGTTTAAAAATAAAATTTAAAAATAATCGAAAAATTAAAATTTGAAAGACTTTATAGTATTTCTAAATTTAATTAACAGAAACTATTTTTCGCATATATTTATGACATATGACAAAGGCAAATTTTTATGATTATTAAAAAATAATTTCGAAATTTTAATTTTTTTCGTTCTCACTCCATTGCATATCTACATAATATATATATAAAATAAAAAAAAAATTAAGATTTCTCATTAAATTTTACTTTTATACTTTCCTCAATCAAAATTTATTAATATGAAATAAAGCATTTCATAATTCAATTTAAACATCTAATATTAAATAAAACAATATATTGTTGCTAAAATTGTTGCAATTAAACATTTTGACAAAAAACATGAAACATAAATGTTGGAAAACTGCAAAACTTATTTAAAAGTTATTAAAGTTATTATAAAAGTTACTTAAAAGTATGAATATGCAATTATTTTTACTACGAAAATTATATATAAAGAAAATATGCTTTAAAAGAATATAAATTGAATTGCACGAAATTAACAAGCACAAATGCAGTTTCCTAACGTTCAATTTGAATATTAATCCCGAATGATAAAGTAGGGCTTTTTTTCAAGTGCTTGGAAAAAAAAAAGAAGAAGAAGAAAATAGCTTTTTCAAAAGATAAAAATATGAAATTACAACGAATTAAATAAATCTTTCTCGCGTGAAACTACATACGCAAGAATCGAAACAACATTATACATTTTACATTTTAATTATATTTGAATTACGGTCGTTTATACGAACCATGGGTTAATTAAAGTGACATTAAAAGCGTCAGTGTATTATATTGGATTACTGAAACTGGAGGATATCACGTGATTAAGAAAATATATAGCTCATGTCACGTTTCTCTTTTTTTTTTTTATGGTTCATAAATAATAAAAAGGTACTTTGTTATTTTTTATATATATTACAATCATATATAAAAAATAATAATGTTACTATAACATTCAATGGCATTGTTTCGAAAAAATTAATATAATTCGTTTATTACAATATAAACTTAAAATTAAAAATGATTTTTTAAAATAATTTCTTCATATATCTACATACAAAAATATTATATTCAATAACATTATTCCAAAGAATTTCGATAAAAATTGATCATAAAATATTCGAGATTAAAAATTTTTAAATAATTTACTATTTAAAAATATTTAAACAACAAAAGTATTTGCTTTTTAAATATATTATAATCGTACGAAAAAAAAAAATGAAACAACAACATTACTATCACATAATTCAATAATATCATTCCTGACGATTTCTTTCCAATAAAAATATAAAATCCTTTGTCGTAAAATGCTCGAAATTATAAAAAAAGCAAGAAACAACAATCGTTGCCTCTGATTATTTCCAACATTGAAAGAGATAAGCACAACCACAAAGAGGCGAACGAAAAGGGATGCGGAGAGGGAAAAAAAGAATCGATAGAAACTACGGATTTTTCATTCCAACACGAAATATCGGACTTATCGAACGATCCATTCGGTAAATCATAGTTTTGAATTAGCGGAGGGAATAATATTCCAGAATCAAATCATGTAACGTTTGCTCGTCGCCGCTGCGTGATATTTCGAATACATTTTAGCCCGAATATCGGATATTATGTTGGCTGATGCAGAGGGAAATGTACAACAGGCCAGAACCAACAAATCCGGTTTCGTCCGATTACGGGCTCTCCAATCGTTGACTGACGCGCGCGTTTGTGTATGTGCGTGAGTGTGTGTATACGTGTGTTTCACAAAGCAAGAAATACTTCGAATATGTTCACGGAGCACTCGTTTCGTGCTTACCTGTATATAGATACCTGGAGCTGATCTTCTTCCGTGGCAAGATCCGTCATTCTAATACCCTTTAAACTCACGGCTAGAGAAACTCGTTGTAGCTTTTTGCCGCTTGCTTTCGCCTATTGAAGAGAGAGAGAGAGAAAAATATTATTAAGAGTTTTTTTGATTAAAATGAAACAAGAAAATGATTGATTAGTCAATTTCACCTATTGAAGAGAAAAAAAAAAAATATTATTAAGAGTTTTTTTGATTAAAATGAGAAAAGAAAATGATTGATTAATCAATGTTTTTATCGTTTGAAATATTTGATATATATTCGATATGTAACAATTAAAATATATATAAATATGTTTTGAAATTTGAAATTGCTAGTAAACGATGAAATTAATCGATCAATATTTCACTCGTCATAGAATTTTAAATGTAAATTTTATAATATTATTTTGTAATGCTGAGAAAATAATTAATGTTGAAATTAAAAAATTGCAGTAGTATTATATATTGAATTTGAAATACACGTATAATTCTTTATTTATGCGGTAGATTGGTTTACAAAAAAATATTGTGTAAATGAAAACTGTGTAAAAAAAGAATAAAATGCATACGAAAAAACTGATTCCAGATGAAAATCCGATATGGATAATACAATAAATTATTTTTAAACATAGTAGAAGTATGAAAATCATTGAATAAAAATTTTAATATTTATAGAATATTTTTTTAAATATTTATTTGAAAAAAAGAAAAATACCGTGTCGTTAATAAAATAAATATTTTAAAGATAATGTATCAACATCGAGAGAAAAATTCAAAAAATTCTTCAAAATTCAATTAAGTTTTAAGTACATATGTATCATTCTAAATAATATAATGGAAACTTTTTTAATAGAATTGATCAAATAGCAATACTTTAATGTTAAATATCTAATAAAAAATTTTGAATTATTTAAAAAATATATTGTGTAAATAATGAATGAGTATAAAATTGCTTTTGTCTTTCAAATTGTATTATTATTTCAAAATTGTGTGAAAAAAAAAGTTATATAGAAAAAGAATTAAATAGATCAATTTTTTTCTAATTTTTCTTTCTAAAAAATTTGTTGTACATTAAAAAAATACAAAAATATATCCAAGATCGATATTTTCATTTGTTTTTAAAAAAATAGTTTGCAATACTTTATTTTGACTATCATAAGATCATTTATAATTAAAACACCCATACTATAACTTGAAAATTTAAAATTAACTTTTAAATGAAGAAATTTTATAAATACACAAATTATTTTTCATGAAATTATCAATTTTTCAATTTATTTTTTAAATATTAAGAGAAACTTAAACTTGATGCAAATTATAAATAGAATTCCCAATAATCAATATTAATTAATAAAAATACCAATATTATTATATAATATTAATTTATTAATTTATATTTATTAATATTATTATATTTATTAATTTATTAATATAATATAGAATTTTAATTATACTATTAATAATATTAATAAATATTAATATATAATTCTATTTATTAATTATTGATATATCAATACATTAATAATTATATTAATATTAGAGTATCATATAACCATAAGTTTTATGCAAAAATCAGAAATCCAATGCTCTGAAGAATTCTTCTAATTTCGATCTTTCAGTTATTTTCAAATCATGTAAAATAACAAAATAATAAAAACTAAAAGATAGAATATCAAGTATAAAATAAATTTGAAATAAGTATTTAATAGAAAATATAATTGTATTTCAAATTTGCATATAAAAATATATTTTTTTTTCATATCATTTTGTTTTATTTAATAACAACATTAACAAAAATAGGAAAAAAGTCATTTTTGTTGATTAAAATTTTGTTTGATAAAGTAATTTTCATGTTTTATTTTAATTTTTAAAAAGAGAAAAATTATTTTTTAACAATTTAAAATTTTCAAAGTCAATGAATTAGTACAAGGAATGTTATATTGATTGAAGACAAGACTATCTAGACCTGAAACATAATTCAACTTTTCGAAATTTTCAAGAACCCCGACATTCTTGAGATTCCCCACACGTTCAAGAATTCCAAAATTCTCAGGAATTTTATCTTATCAAATAACAAAATACTTTTAGGAACTTGACTCGAATAAGTGAATTTTGTTTTATCTATTTCTTGTTTTACAACTTAAAATCTACAACTTATCTTGTTTTATTTCTTAAAATATTTTTTAATTCTCTAATCAGAATTTTATTTGTTGATAAAAATAAAGATTGTAATTGAAATTTTTCATGTTAATATCATTATAACGATCATACAGACAAAATAAAATAAGATTTAAAAAAATTGATGTAATATTATAAAAATTATTAAATTTTAGATTATTTGGAATTATAAAATGGTTCAATCGATATGAATTATACGTCACAATCTACATTTCTTGCTAATGTTAAAATAAATTATAATCTAAAACAGCATAATTTCATTTTATATTGATGGATTTATGATCTCAATCTATCATATGCTTATCCAATATAAAATATAATATAAAATAATTCATAATTCTTCGTTTTTTAAATCAATTTTTTAAATACAAATGAAATTAGCTAATTTCCTATATAGTATATGAAAAATCTTATTTTATACTTTCGTTTTATCTTGAGCCACAGAATCTTCCTAACGTTATTTGTATCATGAATTATGGATCATATATTTATGCATCGTTCGTATTGTATCGATCATTACGTCTTATTTTTAGTTCTCTTATATCTACATCTTCGTTTTAGAATGTCTCTAGAAGAGGAATTGATACGATTTTCACATTCTGAAATATCATTTAATTTAATTTCGTCCCTCTTTGAAGCATCGCAGTTTATGTACTCATTGGAGAAATAATATTTCGTTTAACGAAAGAAACTTTATTGGATAATTATAGAAATAATATACAAAGAAAGGAGCGATTTCAGATTTTAATTTTATTTCAAAATAGTATATTCGCGAACTTGCAATGCGACATTTTGCAACAACGTTAATCGTGAAAATTCGGGCTAAATAAATGACGCATTCATTAATTAATGCGTAATCTCCTGCTTCTACGACATTAAGTCTCCTTAAGTTTGTGGAAATATTAGAAATACACAAATTTCAAAAAACATTATATTAAAATCAATTGAAATTATTCAATGAAGATTGAAGATGAAATTTATCCGTCAAACAAAATTATCGATTATCGCATTAAAATAAATTTAATAGCTTGTTAAATCTATCAGATTTAATATCAGATTATTCAGTCGCGTACAATAACTAATAAATCGATTTCATAGAAGGATTTAATTAACTTTTTAAATATCCGTTGAAACGATAGATAAAGGATTATATCAAAGGTGAAATTCATAATGTCATTGGTTCAGATTTATGAAGCAAAGTTATTGATTTTTATAGAGTTTTTAACCATAAGTTTTAGCTGTCAGACTGGGAACGTTAATCGATGTTATTAAGCGTTGCAATTTATTTCATCGAGCGACTAACGAGATAGGTGCGGCTCAAGTTACTCAGTGAAGAGATTTATACGTAATTTTAGGCATTGTTAGAAAATGTCTTTGTTAACTCTTCAAGATTAAGTTGAATCTCTTAGTAATTAATATTCGAAATTTTTTTGTATCTTGTATTAAATTTTTCTCATATAAATAAATTATTCTCGATACATTGGAAAATTGTTTAATTTAATCATCATTTAATTAGTGTAATTTTAAATATTTTAAACACATCTAGAAAATTACATTTTTAAGAAATTTGTAAGGAATTTTAATGATTTCTCTCTTCCTTTTTAACAGGAGAGAACAGGATTTTTAACGAAAGTAATTAAAAAATTAATTTTCTTAACATCTTTCTTGTTAGGAAAAATAGGAAAAAAATTAGACTCAATTCTAGATTTTTGCAAAGCAGAATAGAACATTATAATTTCATATAAAAATTTAAGAATAATAAATATATTCGAATATTGAAATATTTAAGTTTTTCTATCTTTCAATATTTGAAAAATAAATATTTTAATCGAAGAAAATGAAATATTTAAGTTATATTTTTCCAGAAAGATATATTAATTATATATAGTCACAAAAATCTATATAAAGCATTGAAATAGAGCATGATCCAGAAATAAATTGCATTATAATTACCAACTTATATAATAAATACCTAAATATTTTCGATATAAGTAATTATAATAATTATATATAAATTTATTTCATAAAAATAAACAAATACTACATAATTATAATAATTACAATATATTTAATTATATAATTATAATAATAAATATATAATTATAATAATTATATAATTACAATAATATGTAATTGTATTTCTATGTATGAAATCCGTCATTTCGATAAATTTACCAATTCTAACAGATCTTCCGGATCTTGAAACACGCCAAGGGTTAGAAAGATTAGAAAGATTAGAAAGAAACGATCACAAAAGAATCGTAAAAAGCGTATACCTACCATCGTAATGACAGTCTTGATGGCTTCTGCAGTAGCTTCTTCGCTCGAAGGCGTCTCGACGAGGGTGCTGCCCAAATATTTGAGGGTGAACCTGGCCTCCGATGCGTCCTCAGGTTCATCGTGCGTCGTGCTCGCTGAACTTCCGCCCTCCACGCACTCGCGACTATTCGCCAGAGCCCATTCCTCGCATAGTTCTGTAATTTAATATCGAGCATCGTTACATCAACTTGTTCCACAATATTGCAAACTATCATTAATAAACCTCTAACTCGTATTAATATTTAAATTTCATATCGTGAAAGATTATCGTTCTGTTGAAAATAGTTCTATCTAGAAATATTTTCCTTTGGAAAATTGAATCTAGAGATCGAAACAAAATTTTCTTACGCGAGAATATTTTTTAATACATTCGAATTATGAGAATTTTCTATTCTATGAACTCTTAAAAAAAAAAATGTGAAAAGTGAAAAAAATATTTTATGATATATACATATTTTTTTTTGTATTCAATATAAATAATCCGTTTTGGATTTACGTTTTTTATTTATCGATGTTTTAATTGTCTGTCTGCTTTGTTCGTGTATATACATTTTTTATATGTTGTTATTTACTTTTTTTTTTATCGTTGTTTAAGCTCCTCAAAAATCGATATCTCTGGAAACTTTTTCTGATTTTTGCTGTAGCGTGTTAAAGTTTATTTAGACAGGTTTAGGTTTATTTAAGCGTTAAACGAAGTAGAACGAAGATAGAGTGAAGTATTTTGTCTTTGTCACACTATCATCTTATTAACTTTCCTGTTTTTTTTGGAATCAATTTCTCTCAACGATGATCGATTACGAATATATTAACATTCTATTATATGTATTTTTATAATAATATCATTGAATTTTTTTATTTTTTAATTTTAATATATTGAAGAATTTATATTTAATGGGAAGAAAAATTTAATTATTGCACGTGTTGCTTGCGCGTACGAACGATAAATTGAATAACGGAGAAATATAATACCGCAAAAATATTTGGACATTGAGATTATATAAATTTTACATTAACGAAATAATCAACGAAGTACAATTGTTTATTGCAGCAAGTAAATTGTTCGAATATTTTTTACAACGTTAAATTTCATTATTCAATTTATTTATTGATTATGCAATATTAATAAAATTTATGTTTCTGCTAATGGATGCTTTGATATATTATAAAAAAACAATAAACTCAATAACGTTATAATAAATAAATATAATGAAGCAATAATGTCTGATTCATGTCCAAACATTATTGCGTGTTGTGCAATAAATTACATTTTGTTAAATATTTATATTTAGCGAAATTTACATATATTTACCACTATCTTTGGGAAATTGTACAATGTTATTCCCTTTATTCTTCAAAATTATTAAATTATTCTAAAAATGTTGAAAGAATTCAATATTCTCATATTATGTTCTTGTATATATATTTTAATAGAATAGAGATTAATAAGAGAACTGTCATATTCATATGAGATCACACACTTTTTTCATAATGTGACAAAAATTATTAGAATTTATTTTATTATTATCATATAGTTATCATATTATTTCATATTATATATTATATATTAATTATCTCAAAGTTTACAAAATTTTCTTTACAAAAAATCAAGACAAAAAAAAAATCATAAAATAGTGATTAACACAAATAATAACAATATAAAGTAGGTATAACACTTGATCAATTAGATTTTATACAAAAATAATAAATACATCTTAATATTCTTTTAAACAAATCGAGTTATTATATATTTAATAGGGAAAATAAAAATTATGAATAATGGTATTAGACGATTTCTCTCATAAATTAGACAAAACGAGCACGATAATAGTTACGACTTTGAAATTAGTAGTCAGTCGATGCAAACTAACTTTAGAAGGAAATGCAAAGTCCTGAAACCTGACCTGAATCAAACTCTGATTGAGACTTGGGTTAAGGCCATTATGTTCTCATTCGATATATATATATATATATAAGGTGTTCGATAAGAAATGTATCTAAAATTTAAAGATTCTTCAAATCAAAAAAATAAAAAAATTACATTTTCATTTTCCTTTAGTTATTGATAAAAGAAAATATCTTGGGTAAACACGAATGAATATAAGGCAATGGAGAGCATATTGATCCATAACCCAACGATACATGGACAGCAACTTATCTCAAGTTGTAGGGAAAAAAGAAAAAAGAAAAAAACGATAAATATCGAAGAACTCATTTCCGAATCTTACTTGTATAATTAAAATTAAATAAAAAATATCTTATTTTTTTTAAAACGACAAGAAGTTTTTTCATTATTCAGAACAAATTAAAATTAAATAAAAAATATCTTATTTTATTTAAAACGACAAGAAGTTTTTTCATTATTCACAATACCTTAAACTAAAAAAAACGTTTAAAACAAAATTATAATTTAATCAGAATTAAATTCCATTATCATTTTTTGATTCCTTCGAATTATTTTCCAGAATTTGCATATTCTTTATTTCCTAACGTTTTCTTCATTGTTTCTTTAAGAAAGAAATTTTCAATTCTTCTATTTTTCAAAAAAATAAACATATAATGAAATTTCTTCGCGTTACAATAATATTGCACGAGGTCCTACATTATACATATTATACAAACATAAATAACGCACACATTACAATGTATAGTATTCGTCATTGCAATTACGAGTTTCCAACAACGAGATAATAGATATAAGGGGGTGTTTATCCTAGTCGAAAGGTAGTTTCACAAACGTATGCACGAATGAAAATGTAACCGGCCTACTGAAGATAAATACAGACAATAGACGGAATTGGGGATGACTGGTGTAACATTTAGTCCTGGTATGTACATACGTGCAACCACGTAAACCAGTCTCGCCCTATGACCGTGTCGTCGGGAATAGCACGTGTGCCAATAATGGAGGCTCCACACGCATCATGCGGTATTCTCGTTTGACGCATCCCCTCTATCACGCCTTCTATCGATCATTCTATCGAAGATTGACCAATTCTGTCCGACAAGTGACTCGTATCGATGGGTAGAAGAACACACGGTCGAGTAGGTAGAAAAATACAGTTTTGAACCGTGTTTTCGTACGTAGTCATGTGGAAGTTTTGATTGACGCCACTTGGCCAAGTTCGAGTAACGAGATGTGCTCATCGAAACCAAAGATTTGAGTGAATTTACTTTCTCCGAGTATTTCAGGGAGCGCAATGGAAGGGTGAATGAATATTTTGAGGGAATTTTTCATTGCATGAGTTTTATAGAAAAAAAAAAAGTACAGCTGTTTATATTTTAATTTAAGAGATATTTTGATATTTTAATTTAGAAGTTTGTGAAATTTATATGAAAAATAAGGAGAGTATGAACAGTAGAGTTTCCTTGTTCTTTATATGATAAGTTTCAAGATACAATATCTTTTAAATTAAAATAATTTAATATTTTTATTTAATATTATTATATAGTTATTTAATATATTAGTTTATTTAATATATTATATATTAAAATAAATAATGATATTATTTAATAATATTTTATTATATTTTTAAATACTTTATTGTGGAAAATAATGAATTCTTGTGGTATTTAAAAAATTAAAGCTATCATATCGTGTATCTTATAGCAAATAATTTTTGTAAGAATATAGTATATATTTGTAAAATCAAATAAGTATTTAAAGTAATATAATATTTTATTCGGTATAGGAATAAATTTCAAATTATTATATCAGAACTGTTACAGTATTTGTATAAAATCACCTAGATTAAATTCATAAACTTTGAAAATTACGAACAGTATGTAGGAAGTGAACAGACATGTTGTAAAATAGAACAAACAACAGAAGTAAATATTCTTTCGAGAACTTGTAAGAGTTCTAGAAGACTAGAATGAGAAAGTTAGAGAAGTTGCAACATCTTGACATTCTCGCCCTGAAGGAAAATCGGTTCCAATATTTTCAAATGTTTTCACCGATATTTCTTTACAACTCTCTCACCAAAACTAATCTTTCTTCTTTACCTTCACAAATGTTACTACAACTTTGTTGCTTCGATCTTTCGTCTTTTTTCTTTTTTCTTTTTTTTTTAATGAAAATTCTTTAACTCTATGTCATGTGATAAATGCATCCATAAAAGATATTTATTTGAAGTGTAATAAATACAATTATTAATTTAAAAATTATAAAACTTTAAGGTGCATTAGAAATAAATATTTGATATAATATCTTATATATCAAAGTTATATAATCATGTATGAACATCAAATATTTGACAAAGAAAATAGGTAGAAATGTATAGAAACTTTTTATATTTTTTTGATTAACAAATAAACTTAAAATATAAATATTCAAATATTTCATTGCATTTATAATAAAGAATATAATAAAAAATATTTATTTCAAGTTCATATTAAACAATATTTATCAAAATCAAATAAGTATTTCATATAGTATTCAATGCTGCAACCATAGTAAATATATCATAAGCATTCAAATATAATAATATTTCAAAGACTTGTTAATATTACAACATAATATCATATCAAGTATTTCATACAATATTCAATTCATAATAAATACTCATGCAAATGTTCAAATATATAATTGAAATACTTATTATATATTTATAAGTATATCAAATTGAAATACTTATTATATATTTATAAGTATATCAAATAAGTATCTATTTTTTATAGTATTTAATTAATATTTACAAAAATAAAATCGCAATTAATTTCATTTAACACAAATATAAACAAATATTCTTGCTTCTTATTTCAAATAATTAATTAAGATACATTTTCTTATCGTGATTCGAAATACTTTTACACATCCTTATGTGAAATGGATCGAATAAATCATTTGGATTTTGCTTCGTTCATTCACTATATAGTTCAAATATATATAGATTAAATATTTGTTAATATTGTACCATCATATTCGTAATATCAAGTATTTCATGTAATATTTGATTGCATTCATAGTAGTATTGATTGTATTCATAATATTTGAATAAAATACCTATCTCTTATAATAGTATTTAATTAAAATCTACAAAAAATAAAATATTATTTCAAATTAATTGCATTTAATCAATCTTTTTTTTTTTTTCTTTACTATCGTAAATCGCCTACTTGGATTTTCCTTCGTTCGTTCAATAATTACGTTCTCCAT